ATCCGACGGAAGCCTTGGTTTTCCAAGTACCCTAAGCTTACCCGTCACACTATTTCATCCTTGTGTAGGCTCAGACTCGGCCACTGTAGTAGTCCGGTCTTCCTCAACAAGATCCGCGTTCGTGACAGCTCACTGTGCGAATGCGGCCTTGACGAGGGAACTTTAGATCATATATTTTTTTCATGCCCCTTAAACTCCCAATCCTTTGACCTCTATCAAAAACTCCCCAGTATCCAAATCCCGCTTCCAATCAGTTTCCATCTCCTTTTTACTCACTTTTCCCATAAATTAATCCATTATTTAAGTAAGTTTATCAATGAAAATGGGATTAAGATATGACGGTGTTCAATAATGTAAATGATGTACATACTTCTCTGTTTGTATTGTGTATGTCCCCTCAACTATTTTCTACACCTCTGTATATATACAGTAAAATAGTTGATAATAATTATATGTTCACTAACCCAAATGTTTTGTCCTTTCAGCTACTAACAACTAAAAACTACCATAAAGTTAATTTCGACGGTTCATTAAACTACCGTCATCACTGGACACTGGCAGTATAGTCGACAAGATCACTTTGGAGACTCGTTTGCCAAAGAGAGAAAAAAAAAAAAAAAAAAAAATTACAAATGACAGATGACAGTTAACTGAAAAATGTCAATGTGCTCTCATGTGGTTGTTTTTTATTTACAAAAAACTAAAATCTAAAAATACTGCTTGCTACTCAAGTGACTATTACACTTTGTATTATTAGGAATGATCCTGTTAATTCAGCAAGCATGATGTACCTATAGAGTTTTAAAGAGTATGCCTCACAATCTTTTTAATTTCTTAGGTACCTACGAAAATGCAAATTCATAATGTCGCTTACATTGTCATTGGGTAGAAGGCCTACATTAACAAGTGGAAGTCTTGTGGCGGATATGATAAAACTAATAGTGTCTCACTTCACCTTGAATCTTGCAGGTAGATAGTCTCAAAGGTCTCAAGTTAATTCGATTTAAACTTAGCTTAGCTTTTTGAGAAAGTATTTCTTCTGAAAGCTGGTTGCTTAGCACGCGTGTAAGGATTAATTTCTAATAAGTAAGTCAAAGTAGAATCATCAACATTTTCATCATTAAGTCTATTAGTGGCCACTGCTGAACGAAGCCTCTTCTCGCATGGAGGTTTGAGCATTAATCACCATACTAGCTCAATGTGGGTTGGTAATTCAAACTTATAATAAGAAATTATAAGCCATGTTTCCTCACAATGTTTTCCTTAACCATTCGTCAGCGGTGTCTTTGTACTTTCTTAGATTATTGAATATACGAATAACTCGGAAAAAAGACACATTGGTACTTTGCCATTGGTAGGTTTCGAACCCGCACTCTCATGCATGAGAAGCAGGCTTCTTAAACCTCTGGGCCACCACATTACAACTAAAGAAAATGTAAAATGAAAATGAACATTTTTGGTATAAAACTAAAGCTATCTAAATTAAATATGGTATTTATTTTATAGATTGATTCTTAAAATCACTTTTATCAAGATGGAATATATAGTTACTTACTAGGTTAAAATAAAACAAATGTATTATTTTGAAATACTTTTATTTCATTGTATTCAGGTTGTTTCTAGGACTACTTCATCTAAAAAGAGAACAGGCAGTGTCATAGGTACAGCAGACATCAATTGCTGATATCTGTAAACAAGTAAGATAACTGTAAATAAAGTAAACAAAAGTACATTTTTTTCCTTTAGTTTTATATGTTATAATAATATGTCTGATTCCCTATCTTAAAATGGAAAAGATAAAAAAAATATTTGATTACATTACTTGATTTTATAACATTTATTATAGTTATTCGTATAACACAGATCTTAGGAGCTCGAACAGCATGCTAATTAATAAATTATAATTATAACATGAGTATAAACCTATTAGAAACCGCTTATATACTCCACATAGATACATAATTATGTAGGTACATTATAATGAGAATGCATACCTGTTGAAGCTTTGAGAGCCGAACAACATCTTCCGGCCTCATCTGTTCTACAAATGGCAATGTTAAAGTGAGGCTTAGTCCATGTTTACATAACACATTATTTCCTGATAGTGAACACTGTGAGGTGGTATGTCAGGTTGTGGTTTTATAGTTTGGGCTCTTGTACGGTCTCTCAGTCAGTATGGAACATGATCTTCATCATGCTAAGCTAAGCTAAAATAAGTAATATTATTAGAATATGATATTGACTTTAGATTACACTGTATATAGATAATAGTATGGTTAAATTGTGCTTTATTACCTCTTGTGGCTGAATCCAATCAAATACTATATGAGCCAGTGTTTACTCCTGTTTGTTGGCGCCTTCAATTAAAACCCTGCGTCACCTTATCATTGCAATGAATCACCCATATACGACACAAACATGCCGGTGACCAATTTGTTTGCTGGACATATGTACTTCCACCAACATCCTGATACATTGGTAATTGCCAGCAAGCATTGCAAATATGGTCGGTAGGAGAGATCTAGAATAAAAAGAATAAAATGATACATTATGGGTAGATAACACTATGCGTCTTCTTTTATTCAGGCAACATGGTGACTTTCGATGTTATGGGTAAACTAGGTACTTACATCTCTAGGATAAGTCCACAATGGGATATTGTTGACCACGTCTAATCTTTACTCTCATTTCCTAGAGCATGCCGTCTCATGTGCGACAAACTCTGAATGCAATTAATGCACTGTAAATTCATCATCGCGACAAATTACAACACACTATGCACAAAATAATGTAAATAAGTGTCTTTTCGCAATTGTCACAAAATGATGCCAATAACACCAATTTGGGCTACGGAGGAACGGTTGCCAAACTCAACGTATCATCAGATGAATAAAATAACTTCAAATTCAACAAACACATCATAACATCGCATTTGAAACAAACAGCAATGCGCCAGTATTGACATTTGACAAATTAATTGTCAATGTCATCAAGACAAATGCCAGTTCAACATTGCCATATTCAAGTTTGTTAAAATATTAATATTATCATTAATAATCCATGTAGACGTAGATTTAGATTGGATGTAGATTTTTATATTTACTTATAAAAATGTTTGAAATGGAAAGGAAAATATTTCATCGATAGATATTAAAATAAATGAGTTTATGAAATAGCGAAATTCAATATGCTCTGATTTCATTTTTACGCATGGCAACTTTGTATACGTCAATCGCGGTTCGTTTTACGTTTAGTGGATTGATTTTTATCATTATTGAATATCAGTTTTTCTAGGGTTTCCCAAGTTCTAAAAATCTATTAAATATGCTAACATAACGTACTTAGGAGGTTCTTTAATGATCCAATTTTTTAATGACAAATCTTTTTTTAGCGAAGCGGTACAAAATCTGCCGTTCTCCTTTCTGGAAAAATACTAAAGTCAAAGTCAAAATCATTTATTTCAATTAGACCAGGATGGCACTTTTGAACGTCAAACAACAAAAATTTATAAGTGAAGCTAGTTGCTCATTCCAAGGCGTAGATTCCTATGGAGAAGAACGAGCAAGAAACTCCATAGGTTACTCTTTTTGATCCGCGGATATCGCACGATCTCCGGGGAGTCGGCGAACCTCCTTGCCGGGTTACCTCCGTGGGATCTGGAGGCGAAGGTGCTCGCGCGCGTGTATAGCATTCGCGCGGAGGCACGTCGCCGGGGCAAAACTCCGCTGCCGCGCCAGATAAATGCGTGGCGGGATGAGCTCCGGCGCGATCTCATGGCGGAATGGCAGCAACGACTGTCGCAACCAAGGGCTGGGCCTGCTGCCATTGCAGCGGTAAGTCCCCTCTTTGAGGAGTGGCTTGAGAGACGCTACGGCGTCCTCACCTACCGCCTGACGCAGGTCCTCACCGGACATGGAAGTTTCGGGAGGTACCTGTGTCTGATGGGGCGGGAGGAAACGCCCGGGTGTCATCACTGCGAGGACCGCCCTGAGGACACGGTGGAACACACCGTAGCGGAATGCCCTGCGTGGGCTGAGCACCGCCGTGCCCTCAGGGAAGTGATCGGCGATGGCGACCTCTCGCGTCCGGGCCTAGTGCAGGCCATGATGTGGAGCGAGGGGGACTGGAATGTCGTCTCCTCCTTTTGCGAAGCAGTTATGCTAGCTAAGGAGGAGGCGGGACGCGTGAGGCAGCGAAACGCTGCCTCCTCGCAACCCAGCCATCGCGAAGGACACACCGGGCGTCAGGGATCGCGGGACGATCTCCGGCCACCGTAAGCGCGGGCCTGCCGTCGGCGAGCATGGGTGGCTCCCCGTCCGACCAGAAACAGACCCGAGCGTACGGCGCGTCGCGTTCCGCGCGCGCCTCAAAGAGCCATCAGACCACCACAGATGGGGCCCAATAGGGCCGATGCCGATTCGGAGTCGCGGAGAACCTAACGGGTAACCGGGGCTCCGGCTCGACGTGCAGGAGAAGGAACGGGGTGGTTTTTAGTCAGTAAGAGTCTGACACTCCCTTCCGCCTCACCCAGACGGGAGCAGTAATTCGATGATTTTCCCCCCTAAAAAAAAAAAGAAGGTTACTCTTTTTCAATCAGGTTTACAATACAATTCTCTAGTTACATAGTTTTATTGGTTCGATTATGTGAGAACAATGCAACACCTAAATCCAGTCCAGTCAGAAAGACTGAAAAAGAATGACCTTGAGGATAATAAAATAAAATGATACAGTCTGGAGCTGCATTTGGCGTACCCCAGCACCACCCAACTCAACCATTTTGTAGGGAATCGATCGATCCAATGCACGTGCCACCGAGATCTTTGAGTGAGCATGACAACTCCAAGCTGACATAAATGCATTCTCAAATTAAATTAGTCATAAAATCGATTAATGAATGTGTGTTTTTTTGAAATATTTTATCGTATTAAACAGTTTATGTAATTAATTTTTGATGAAGGCAACTGTCCATTTGGTTGTTTAATGACTGTCTCCCCCCCCAGGAGGCGCTGTCGCTGCACGTCCGTCTGCACGCGGGCGACCGTACGTGTGTGACGGACCTGTGCGCCCTCACCGCCGCGCTCACGCCCGGACTTGTCGCCGCGCACCCGCAGCACGGTACGTACCCCCCCCCCCCCCCCCCGCACGTGTGTGACGGACCTGTGCGCCCTCACCGCCGCGCTCACGCCCGGACTTGTCGCCGCGCACCCGCAGCACGGTACGTACCCCCCCCCCCCCCGCACGTGTGTGACGGACCTGTGCGCCCTCACCGCCGCGCTCACGCCCGGACTTGTCGCCGCGCACCCGCAGCACGGTACGTACCCCCCCCCCCGCACGTGTGTGACGGACCTGTGCGCCCTCACCGCCGCGCTCACGCCCGGACTTGTCGCCGCGCACCCGCAGCACGGTACGTACCCCGTTGTATTACTAAAGTATTAGTAAGTATTAGTATTATACTTCTTTTAATTTTTAACATGTTTTAAACATAATCTTGTGACATTAATGATTTCTTCTTGCAGGTTTTATAATCCCAGACCAGCCCAACATACAGATAATTTCTTCAAACGCAAACAACGTTGGGCATACGCAAGTCATAGCTTCCGTAAGTACAATACATAATATTCTCATTAACTGAAATTACCTATTTAATTGTTTAATCCCCAAGTGGTCACTGGTGACCGCTCTCCACTAACTCCATTATAGATCTTATGTCCGATACTTACAGACTACTTTTGTATGAACAAGTTTAAAGGATAATATATCAACATATTAATTGAAAATGATAGATTTTTCTCTCCTATATTGTTATTTTAGCAGTAATTCAAGCAGTTGTAGGCTATTATTGTACAAAAATACTTAACAATTATCAGTTTTCTTCTTGAATGTATTTAGTGAGCAAATGAATTTATTTCAATATTAATGCTTACTGTGATCTGAACCATACCGTATTGCCTTCTGTGATAGAAGTCTACAGAATTAACCCAGTGTTTTTATAATTTGATCTCAATCTTTCAGAATCATCAAATTAATACTCCCAGACCGAAAGTTCACTTCTGTGGCGACTGCGGGAAAGGGTTCGCAGCTAAACATGGATTAATAGCGCATCAAAGGAGGTATGTAATGATGTTTTAAGCCAAGGATACACTGGGGGTCAAATGCCCCAAGACGTGTATGTCAAGCGAAGCCGGCCGAAGTCGCCTGACATATACGGTGACGACGCCCAACTTTTGTCTACAGTGACTGGTTGTTGCCAGACATGTCGACCAAAGTCCAGTAATGCACGCTACTTCATTGTGTCGCAGAACATTTTGTCCCCTAGGGTAACCTTGGGTTTACATTTGCAGGATATTAGTGGATAAAAAACATTTGTATACTACTTTTTGAATATTACTTAGACATATCCAGTGCCTTTAGCCACTTTAGCGCTTGTCTACAGAGAGAGTAGAAATTAAAATGTATGGGGATGACACTGACAAATGTCAAAATTTACGTCAATTTAATATAAAGTCTGGCAAACGAAAGTAGAGACTGAAAAAGCCCGGCAAATTTATAAAATATCAGTATAGCAACCCAAAAATTAGTATGTCATACCTGGAGTAACCTAATTTGATACTTTATAATAATTTGTTTGTTTGTTACGTCTTTGTTTTTTCAGTCTCTACTTTCGTTTGCCAGACTCTAATTTGGTTTGCTATTCTATATGTAGACAAGCGCTAAATGGCATTTGGCTACAGCTGCAGTTTTTTGCTATATCAATCTTTACGATATGTGTAGTTTGATATCTATTTCAATATTTGGTGTGAAAAATATATTTATCAACTTATTGTTTATGTTGGCGTAATGTGAAGAGTGTATTAATTTGGTCTGCAGACACCCGGACGGCAGCTGTACGCTACGTACCCACGTGTGTGACCAGTGCGGGAAGGCATTCTTCCAGAAGAACCATCTCATGCTGCATCAACGGCAACACATGGACCTGCCGCCTAGAGCTGTGAGCTATACATTTTATTATATTATTTTAGGGCATACGAATACATTTGGTTACCATCAAGTGGTGAATTACCAGCCAGAGGAGCTAAAGTTCCTTTTGGACATTGGTTATCTTACTTACATGGAGTATATAACGTAAGCATTGTTTCACACCGGTTTCCTATGATGCCCTGTTATCAGTCCGGTCGATCTGATCGATCTGGTCGTGATGAAGTATGTCCACGCCACGTATTTTTTGTTTATAAATTTAGGATTTTCTCCTGTGTCGTGGTTGGGTTTACAAACATAAAAGTTCACATACACATGACACCCAGACCAACAACAATTTGTGGACAACACAAAGAGTTGCTCCGTGTGGGAACCCGCGACACGTAGCGCGGCCGGTTGCCCAGCCACCGCACCAGCCGTGCCGTCATTACGTGACAGTAAACTATTTGAAACTAAATACCTTCTTCCGGAATCTGACGTGTGCATTTAAAGTAGCGATATATTAACTTACATAACTCATGTCGGAATACTGTAACGCTACTCAATTTTAAGTCGCGCTTAAGTATAGTTCTGTCACCACTAATTCTTTGTAAAATGACAGAGATATCGTGCATATTTAAGCACGACTTAAAATTGAGTAGCGTTACAGTATTCCGACATGAGTGACCTGAAGTGAGTTGCTCCATTTCTCGCTGTTCTTGGCAGTTTCTCACCCATTACCAGTCTTAAATTGAACCTTCCTCAGATCCACCTCTGTAACTATATTTACATCCCAAACCATTTATTTCAGAGTCAAGGTCAAACTGTAACGCAACAACAAACTACACAACAACAAGTGCAACAGGCAACGCAACAACAAGTACAGCAACAGGTGCAACAACAGGTGCAGCAACAGGTGCAACAACATCAAGTGCAACACCAGACGCACCAAGCACTCGAACTGGAGCAGGATCACCAGCAGGCCACGCATATACAAGTTGTACGTACTTTCACATAATTATTAAGGGGTGTGAGTTAGCCTTGGTACCTACAGGTGGTGAAGATCAATGATGCAATGTCAACAGTGAATATAGGAATACTAGCTCTTACCCGCGGCTTCGCTCGCGTCACAAAAAGGATAAAAAGTAGCCTATGTGACATATACCAATACATATAGCGCCATCTATACCAATACTTTTGTTTTCCCTCGGGAATATCAAATTTCTCCGGGATAAAAAGTACCCTATTATTTAATCCAGACTTCTAACTTTACGTCTGCAAAAATTCAAAGCAATCGGTTTAGTAATTACGACGTGAAATCGGAACAAACAAACAAACTCACTTTCCGATTTATAATATTAATAAGAATATTGATAAAGATTTAGTACAATGTCCTACTCGGTTAGAGGCCAGAGGATAACTGCCGCTCGCGTCATGCCATTACAAATAAATAGTGTCCGACTGAAACTGGTTTTCCGGCCGAAACCGATTGTTCGGTCGTAGCTTTAGTTTCGGCCGAAACCAAAACCGAAACTCACGAGGTCAACTATAAAAAATTTTAAAATACTGAAATTTTACTGCATTTTACCTATTATTTTGCTTTAATTAGGGCATGAAATGGAAAGACAGTATATTAAGTTTGTTGTAATCATTTATTAAATATTATATAAACTTTCGGTCGGACACTACAAACAAATAAATAATATTCTGCGAATTGCTACTCGTAATACGAATCCTACAGGGACAATCTGAATACCAACTTAAAGATTGTCAAAGGATGTATGATGGCCAGCAATGCATCAGTTATTCTTCTGTTGTTGTGGGTGTCCATGGGCGTTATTGTATGCTTACCATTGATGCCGGTTTGCTCGTTTGCCAACCGCTATTCTAAAAAAAATATTCTGAATATGCACCAACTCGTGTTCCATGTAATATTTGTCTTTAGGTTCTGTAGTTTTGAGTAAATATGGACTAAAAATGTGTAACATGGGAACATACAAGAAAAACCATGGCCTTTATCCCAGCAAGTTAAGCTGAAAATAAAGTTAGAATAGATATAAATGTTACATCATTGATCCAATTCTACCCAGAATGTCGATTAGAAAATTAATATCCCACCTACTAAAGAGGCTTGAGTCTAATGCTATTTACTTAAAAACTGGCAATTGAATTAACACTAGACTATTTTAGTAGGTGATAAATATCATAAAATTCACCAAATCAGCAGATAATAATACAGTGGTCAAGAAAAAAAACGGTAATTGAAAACTAAACCAAATGATGAAGATATATGCTGATTACGTGAATCTTATTCGTATAAAATAATAATTAATGTTAATTCGCTTAGATGAACGTCGTTAACGAAGCGAAGGTCAAGCAAGAAGTATCTTGTCTCGGTACGCAATGATTTGTAAGAATGTTTTAAAATAATACATGTTGTACAGGATGAAATCGTGGTCATGTCATGTTTAAGGAATTATTGTACCCAAACAACTGTTTATGTAGTGTATCTTATCCTCTTGTCTGTTGAAAGTTGCGGCCATAATGTGTTTTATACCGGGAGCCGGTGTTACAACAGATAAGAGGCTGTACTTTTTCGAAATACATTAATACAAAATGTAGTTATGGGACAGTCTAATTATTTTTTGCGCTATCGCTATCTGGGTTCGCCTAATAGTAAAAGTTGTTCATTATTTAAATAAGTTCACCTTAAAAATTCAATTTCACCCTGTATATTATGTATATTATACCTTTGTAAATGACGTATGGGTAGATTTGATACTTTTGTTTTTTTAAATAAGATTCTTTATCGAACAATTTGGTTTTAAGTATCATTAAATCTAAAATGAATCCCCCTACGTCTTTTAAAGTTATTGCAACAGTGATATAACAACGTAAATCTTGTAGGTAATATACGTAGGTAGTTTATTATTCAAGTAGCTCATGTATGTAGAAAATAAGTAGAAAGTATGTGACTTCACCATCAGAAGATGGTGTAAAGTTCTTCAAGTTTTGAAACCGTCTTATGTAATGTACCTAATTGCACTAACGTTATTTAAAAAAGTGGATGTATTGTAAATAGGATAATAGAATATTTGTTAAGTAGAATCTCTACATGTATTATGTTGAAATGAATACAAAATGCAATAGGCATGATAATAATGCTGTGAGTACTTAACGGTCAAAATATAATATTCCGTAGCGTTTTTCAAACCGAATTCTATGTTTTCATAGGTGACGAATAGATCTGGTCAGGTAATCGGCAACCAGATCGTTGTGGGAGGTCTTAGTGGGGGGCGCCGTCTCGTTGCTCCTCTACACATCGTGAGCCGTGATGTCAAGCCTAACCTGTCACATCTGCACAAACACCACGCACGGCAACATACCACCAGGTAATATACACGACATTATTTCCTAGAACAAAGAAGAACTTATTAATATTATGATAGTATAAGTCTCTTTATCTACAAACAATTTTAATTCTTGTAAATAAACAAATAAGGGTCACTTACTTCCCATCAGTGGATGTTTACTGATCAAAATGTGCGGTAGGTTCGACTCTTACTGCCTAATTAATAAAGAAAAGATAAGTAGCACTTTCTAATAAACTTGATTCTTTAAGGCTGATTTTAGTCTCACACTGTGAACGCTAATGGCTGAGATATATGAACTTGGTGGTCAGCACTGACCACTGAGTTGCACTGTCAGCATCAGACTAAAACCAGCCTTAGCTTACGATTTCCGACCTTATGACTCCAATAGTGAACAGTTTCAGATTGTTGATGTCAAATGAAATAAAATATTTATTTAAACTTTCCTTCCACAGCGGTGATGCAAAAGAAGTTGGTGGTCTAGTCCTGTCAGCAGGTCGGACTGGCCTTATAAAGTACGAGATCTCCCTCCCTCCCCCAACGTCCGTAGTGCAAGTGCAACAATTAGACTGAGTAAAGCGAGACCCAGACGAACCTATGGTCGTTTGGATGAAAAAGTGACAGTGACATGTGAAAGTGAGTGACAGTGACATTGACAGTGACAGTTATACAGTGACATTAGTGCAGTGGTGTGATTCTAGTATGCTTGTACGAGATTTGATTAGAAGAGCAATAATTAAATTGAGGTAATATTTGTGATATCATTATTGTTCTGTATTGCAAAGTTACGTAGCTACTGTTGTTATTAAAAGGTTTGTGGGATGCATAAAGCTGTGGAGGTGCATACAGATAGAAAGCAGGACTTTCAAGCTGATATACCGCGACTCCGACACAGGGCTTGAGTTGGAACAGGGTGACTTGTAGTCAGTAAGAGTCTGACACTACTTTAAATTCACTCAATATGGGGTGGGTTTGGGTGGGTCATTCAATGGTTTTCCAACCTTACAAAATAGACTTCAAACTAGCTTAAGCAACAAAACAATGTAGTCATGTATGATGTTCTAAAACTTATGTTTTTGGAAATAAAGTTGAAAATCTATCAAAGATGTCTTATATAGGTGCATGTCGCAATAATGTCTCCCAAAGTTTCATGCATTCCAATTAAACCTTACATAGAGGGTGATTCTATTGTAAAAGTAATAGCAATTACATGATTGGCTAGCATTTAAGCGTACACTGCCATTTAAGCAATAAAAAGAATTGTTGTTGAGACAATGGAATCACAATCTAATGAACTGGGTATTAGAGTTGAGTTTGTAGACATTAATTATTTCTCTGTTGCATTAAGCCACAAGAGGGGTGTCAATATAAAGTGCTACTTTATTAGTGGAACTTTCACTGGCAGGCTGTTCTAAAAGTAAAATAATTTTCTTGCACAATTTCTTTAGCATGAGAACACAACTTAATTGAATATGTTGTAATTGATTTATTTCATAATATCAATGATATTATCTGCTGGCAGTATATTAAAGTACTATTCTAACTTCAGTTGTATTTAATGAAACATTGTATATTGTCCAAATAAATTCAATATTTAATAAAAGCATCCACTAATAAGGTTTTACCTTATAATTAACATAACCCATTCAATGTCTATCTATCTCAACTTGAAAGTATAGTAAAAGCAGTTTCACTGCCATGGATCGTGATTTACAATTTATATATTTACAAAACTTATTGTTAGTCTTGTAAATAATTTCTTATTGTGTTCTAAGTACAATGCTTTGACAAAAATAACTATATTTACGAGAATAAAAGTGCTGAATTATGTTCAGTACAATAAAATGGCAGTCTGATTGTGTTCAATTTTATATACCATTGTTAATTATGTTTTGGGCTAGTTGTTAATGTGTTTGTTAGTAAAATTAAATTGTTTTGTAATCTGGGGTCATAGTAGGAACCCTACCATGTCATAAGCCCCTCTTAAACTGAATATATTATTAGTAGATAGGGCTTTTATTATTGTACACATTCAAGTATACTCAATCCTTTCGCCCTAGGGTAGCAAAAATAATGTGTTACAAAAATAAATAAAAAGTTTGTTAAAGTCCAACATAGTTCTTTTGTAACATATTAACAATTAGCCCAAAAAATATTTTTAATTGTTTATCCACTGGTTTCTAGTTCCTCTTTTCAGAAACCAGACATTTTAGCAAATGAAGGATAGGGTAAATTTAATTATAGTAGCAGAAATCTCGTACGAGCATACTAATGTATAAAAATTGGTACATTTTGTATATAAAGGTATGACTGAATAATAGGCTCACCCCCTATTACATGGGACTCATAATTATAACATTAATAGTGAAAAGTGGGTGTTACATTATACAGTGGTATAATGTGCACCTCTGCCTACCCCTTCGGGGATAAATGGCGTGATGTTATGTTATGTTATGTTATGGTATGACTGAAAGATAGCATAGTGTAAATACAGTGTATATGCAATGCAGTTGGGTTAGGGAAATGGAATCATCTCAGTTACAAAGACATTTGGTGCCGATAGGATATGTTTCTGCTCTGTCATGTGTGTTTTATAGTCTATTTTTATTATTTCTGTAATTACAATTGGTTAGAGTTGTTATAGTTGCTTTGGAACATAAATAATGTCAAGTTTGTTAATCATGTTACTTATGTCGTCATAATATATGCAAAAATATACTGCCGAATAGGAGGCATGATTCCAAACTCCATGCTAATATAAAAAAAATCCAAAATTATAAAGCCTTGTAATACTTATTAACTGGGATCTTTTGTATGGTAGTCACACTTATGACAAGTGATATCATAATTGTTGTAAATTAAGTACAAAATTATTTAATTTGTTAGTCAAAGTCAAAGTCAAAATCATTTATTTCAATTAGACCAGGAAGGCACTTTTGCATGTCAAAAAATATTAAAATATTAAAAAAAACATGTTGTCAGTCCTCTAGTGAAGCTATTGGCTCGTTACAAAGTGTAGATTCCTATGGAAAAGAACGAGCAAGAAACTCCATAGGTTACTATTTTTCAATCAATTTCACAATACAATTTTTGGTTACATTGTTTCGTTGAGTTCAATTATGTGAGCATAATGTAACACCTATATTTAGTTAAGGAGACGGAAAAAGAAAATAACCATGAGGACAACAAATATGTTTCAAAGTAACTCTGATTACTCTATGTAGTTACAATTACAGAAATCGGGGCCTTTTTATTAAAGATCGATAAACTAGTATAGTAAAAATAGCTTGTATTTTAAACTCTATAAACACATGTGACAAAGCTCAAACATCCTTAGCCAGCATTATAGAACTAAAAACCTAAGCCTAAATTAAAAAAAGAATGTAATTATGTATAATGCCAATAGATTGGAAAGCTTTATTTAATGTTTAGACGTCTGCCTTACAATAGAGCCTTAATTTTATCGTTCATTGTAATAGATATAGAAACGTCAACTACTTAATTTCGATGGCAATAAAAAAGAAACTGATTCATTTGTGTATAATATAGTAATTTTAAGTGAATGTTCTAAAATTTAGGACATTGGCGTGTAAAGAGATGAGGTATAGGAACCTTTTTTTGTATAATACATAGTTATAAGGGCAACTTACTATAGTTAGTAATCTCCTGTACATATCATGTTTTTACAACACTGAATGGCGTTTTGTAATAAAATGTACAATCTCTATGTAGGTATGCATTTAAGTTTTTGTTCAATTGTTGTTTTGTATTTATCGGACATGTTACTGGCCGCTCAAGATGTTGTTTCTGGAGTATTTTCTTTTTTTCTTACATTCGAATCATCGAATCTGTTGTTGTTTGAAAGTAACGCACATTTAGCTTAGGGGTTAACGAAATGTTAGTAATAACTTGTTTACTAGTAATTTTGTTATTAGTCATTTAGTTAAATACTCTCTAAATTATATCTTCAACAGCCACTAGCATTGCCGATGTATACGAACAACCTTTTAATTATTATTTAGGCGTCATGTCAATAGGCTTCTTTTAAGTACATATAAATAATCATTTTTTCCTTTTTTTTTGAAGTTATGGCAGTAAGGAAGGCGTGTTATGTGCAATCAAAATTCAACGTTTTATAGATCTGAGGTTTTATTCGAAAACTCTTTTGATGTGACTTGGCTGAATAAGTTGTTACCTTGTCATAATAATAACGTTCGTGTAATAGACTATATAAAGTGGTTCTTAATTTATTTGTCCAAGTTACATCATTATTGTTGACAAATAAATATGGATGTAGCGGTGTTGTTTAAGGTTTCAACTGTATTTGATATGTCACTGAATATTGGGAAGTAGTCATATATAAAAGGAAAGTACCTAAATACTAATAGGTAATGGATTATACTTAATATTGTGTTTAGTACATTTTTATAAATTATTTTTAAACTTGTGTCCAAAAAAGTACTTAATTTATCCCTCTGGCATAGACGATTTATATAAAGATAGATGTGTGGTGCGAAGTCTTCCATAACAGTGGAACCATAAACAACATTGCGCCCCAAACAGAGTAGCACTCGTCTATTATTTTTGGTATCTAATCTAGTCTGTGATAAGGGAATGTTTATTGCTTCTGTCCGTAACATGTCTTATGGGAAAATAGATTTATATATATTTTATAATTAAACAAAATATATAGGATTTTATATCTACGATAGTTTAAAATATTTACTTATTAAAATATCACATCTCAATAAAAACATGAAATAAAAATAAACCTTATTACTTCAGTATAAGGGTGCTTTTCATATTTTAGTTCTAAGTTATTTCCTGATTATATGCTTGTTCATATTATCAGCTGGTATTGTTTATATTGAAAAACATTACATGTGATTGATGTGTGCAAATATACAAATTATTTTTATTTCTTTAAAGTTCATAATTGTGTTTCTACTTATATCTTGGAACTTGTATTTTGGCCGGAATCCTTAGAGTTTTTAATTAAAAATATCGGCCTTCTAAAGAAGCAATATTAAGTATAAATAATTTATTATAACTGGGTGGCAATTCTAACTGTAACACCAAAATTTGCCTATACAAGTAGTAAATATAAAAGTAGATTTAATGTTTTCATTTTGTATGGTACACACCACAGGATATTAGTGGGAATATTATTTCTTTGAGTCTATGAGCTTAAATAGAACATGAAATACGTGATGCCGTCAGAGTCAGCCAGATAAACAAGCTGAATAAAAAAGAATTAACTTAACAGCCAAGGGTAATCTTTACAAATACACTGCTGTTTTTAATGAAATAATTTCTATAAAGTACTACATATAGTATTTGTTTTATTACGTGAAAAGACTTGTTTAATGCAGATTTTAAACTACAATGTTTCATAGTGTCAAAAATGATAAAAAAATCCAATGTGTTAATCAGTCACAATATTAAACTGTCAAACACCAAGCGGTCACCGGTGACCGCGACCCATTGTTCTTTAATTGTGTCTATAAAACCGGTACTCGACGAGTTAAATTAACTAAAAATCGCAGGTTACTCACTTTAATATACTGAGAAAA